ATAAACGTCTCTTGTTGGCAAGAATGCGAGGACACGATTGGCAGATAATTTTATCTGCAACATAGCTCCCGCTTGTCCAAACAAACTCCAATCGCCATAATTTGCCGTGCAGCTCATGTTATTCGAGAGCAACACAGACAATAGCATTATTTTGAGCTTCCTGAACGCCGATTCTGTTTCTGCCTCATATACACAGATAACCTTGAATAACAGGAAAGCATTTCTGCCTTGATCGTATCGACAAAAGACAAATGGATTGTAGCTTTATTATGCGTTGTAGATACATGTAATTTAACTCGAATTCACTTGCATTGGCCATGTAAAGAATTCGGTAACTCACCACTTTATGATCTGGACCGCGGACTATCTCAGTAAAAACACATTTTGTATGCATAACGGGACTTGTACTCCGTCACCATCAATAGGACAAATCACCATGGTGATGGGCATGGGCCGTTTTATAAAGCCGCGAGTCGAGGCCATATAACTGAAAGTGGTTGTGGATCCCTATCAACACAATACATTTGCAAAGTGTGCATAGCCCTCGTACTTGTAGAGTGATCTTTCTACAACACTATGTTTTTGATTGAATGAATGCCAACCGATATTTACAATTTAGAAGAATCCAACCAATACCATCACTTTGCCATACATAGCAGGGATTACCAAAAATATTTCCAAAATCTTAAAGAAACACAAGATCCAGGTTCGTTTTAACACAATACACAAAATCCGTGATTAGATCCCATCTGTAAAGGATGTGATTCCTGATATGCAATACCCTGGTGTCTACAAACTGAGCTGTGGTTGCGGCAGCAGTTACATTGAGGAAACGAAACGACATGTCTCGGACCGCGTTCGTGAACACAAGGCAGATCTGAAACACGATAGGACCAATACCTCTGCCGTTGCTGATCAGTTTTAACGCAGTGGGCTCACACGAAATTGACTTTTCCTAGACGAAGGTACTCTGCAAACCCACCGGCTATTATCAGAGATTTGTTCATGAAGCCATCCAGATATATAAACACAGACACAACTTCAACCGAGAAGATGGGTACAAACTGAGCAATCATTGGAAGGACGTTATTGACCAGGTAAAGTCTTAACTGACTGTGATGTTTCCATCTTACCTGCCGATGTCAGCTGTTACATCCGACTCTCTGTGTCTTTTTCTCTCTCTCTCTGTGCATCTCTCTCCAATCTCTACTCCAGTACTCCAGTGACCCGGGTGCTGCCGCGGGGTTCACTTTTTGCCCCCCCCCCTCCTCCCCCCACTTCTCTCTCCCCCCCCTGCAGTAGAGGTCGCAAACGGGTTTTGATTCCTTACCCGTACCCGGCCGCACCAGGGTCGCAAATTTCACTCGGGTACGGGTACGGGTAGCCGGGTATCGGGTAGGGTACCCCTATCGGGTACCCGATTGCGACCTGTGGGGTGAAGCCATGTTGCAGGCGCGGGTGGGTTGATTCTAGGAACTTGAATTGTGAGAAGAGACAAGACGTTGGGAAATGAGTGACAAACGGTTACTCACCAATGACTCACGGCCTACCCGTACCCGTACCCGGCCGCACCAGGGTCGCAAATGGTTACCCGTACTCGGCCGGGTAGCCGGGTATCAGGTAGGGTACGGATATCGGGTACCCGATTGCGACCTCTGCCCTGCAGCCGATCTCTTAGATCTCTCCAAATGCTGCCGCGGGGTCCACTTCCTGCCCCGCCCCCTCTCGCCCCCCACCTCCTCTCTCTCCCCCCCTACTGCCGAGGCCTATATAACCTCGTGCCACGGCAGATCTCTCGCCTACTTCAGCAGTTTGTTCTTGCTGTGGTGGTTGTCCCACCTGATGACGATTGATTGTGTTGCGATAGAAACGTCGTGATCTATTATTTTTCTACCTACGTGACTTTCCCGAAAGAACCAAAGAGTAGGAATTGTAACGTTTAATTAAAATGCATTAACATGCTAATTAGCAAATACTGACAAACTGGTATATATTACCACAATATTGTATACCGTAATAAATAGAAAAAACACACAAGTGTCTCATTCACTCTGTTAAAATAAAATATCACGCAAAATAATATCAAGGGTGGACACTTGTTAATAAAATTCTGCTGCGTGGCAATGGCTAAAAACAAGGGCCTCTCTAGATCACCACCACAGGAGGCCATTCCCCGCAGTACAGAAACATCCTACGTTGTTGTTTTACCAACAGCTCGCTAAGCCACACAGGCTCAGCAAGACACTGACTATTGCAACACAATAGTCGGCCATTCAACTCGGGGTTACTCTCATTGACCATTGTTAGACAATCTTCCATCGTTTCCACGGCCTTGTCATTTTTGTAATCGTCTTCTCGCACAAGCCGCGCCGCACACTGGCGAGTTTTAAAATGGAAAATGTAAAAACTCTCCAGTAGTAGTGTGCGACTGTGGTCATCCAGGACAGACCGTAACAACGTATAACGACGCAATGCCCCGATCCACAAATACGAAGGAGACATCGCAGCGATGCACTCCGCTGCTCATGACGCCTCAATGTGAAATTGTAGTTGTTGCTTTGCATCTATATCAGCAGCCATACGAAAGAGAGACAGCTTGCTAATCTAAGCCACTACTGCCTAAATCACCCAAAGTACCCTCCACTCACTTTTTATGCCACCAAACCGGCCCTGTAGCGTAGAAGAACTCAGAGGGGGAGGGTGGAGGGGAGTCACGACACAGTGACTGTTAGACAAACTTTAAGCAATTATTCAACACTTAACAGAATGAGTAACAATAAGATCTGATTTTTTCCACGTGTATGTATGTTGAACTTCTTTTGCACCGTGCGTAGCCAACCGTGCTAATCAGAGGGTTCGGGGGAAGGACAACGAAACATAAATGAGGAGCAGTTTAAGAAAAGCTACCACTGCTGCTAAATATTACACCAAGATTTGACTTGATCATGTTCCTCCCCACCAACTCAAGTCCCGATCCCCCTTCTGGGATCGCGCTGCTGACGTCACCATCCTAGAATCTCACCCAGATCTTGAACAACGCTGCGGAGCGGAACAGCGTGGACGTCCAGCAGAAACGCCTTGTTCGAGACACAAACATTGCATCTCCTGGCTTTCACATTTCTCTTCCTCGAAGACACTGGCGTATCCTTCAACCGCATCAGATTTAAGACGAGCCACAGAAGTGTGACTGTGTCCATGGACCACAAAAACTATGGATCGTCAAGTAAACCACTATAGTCTGCGCTACTTCAACGGAGGAGCGATAGCAAAACTACACACTCTCTCTCTCTCATGAAGCCCCTCTTATCGTGGTGAGCAGAGCTAAGACACTGGAATTTGGCTCCTGAATGTCCAGTATTACCACACGCAAGAATATCATTTACATTATTAATTAGTTTATAATTATGTTCATGTTAGAATATTTCAAATAGCAAGATATGGTGGCTGCTTGGGGAGGTCTTCATCCAGAAACGGATTGACCATCGCGAACAATCAGTGCCGGATTAAGCGAGCGCGGGGCCTGTAGCATATGTTATTAAAGGGGCCCTGAAAAAAAAACACGTAAATATGATTTAAGTTGCATAGTAAAGTAATTGTTTTTTTTTTCATTTGCTATATAGCTGGATAATACGAGAAATCGCTAATCTTAAACACCGAGCCGTTCATAAAAGTTGAAGGCAGTATAATACTATAGTAATAGAGCAAGTGCAGAATCACTGAGCCGGAATTGATAGCTTGAAAGCATTTAGCGCGGGGCCCTTGAAAGTGTGGGGCCCGTAGCATATGTTGCTTTTGCCACTAGGATAATCCGGCACTGATAATAATGATAGTGAACGATAGGAAAGAATACAATATGAATGGCCCATGAGGCCTGAAGTTATTCATTCATTCAGTCACACTGCAAAAAAGATCCACATTCATGACAACAGCAGACTCGCACACAAACCGAGGGATATCAATCTGTCTTTATTGCTGTGCAACATTTTTGTTCGATTACGATTCGTATTTACACAATGTAACACATTGGCGTTATCATTTTTAAAAATATATATACTTCTCTAAGGAATTTAGCTTCGACTCTATCATGTAAACCATACTGGATTTTCATTGTGTAACGTGTGAAGAGACGGCCGACATTCAAGTCGAAACAAAAGGGATAAAAGAAACTGGTCCTGTGATTTTTGAAGAAGCTCACACCCCTTGCCGTGGGCGCGATCAATGCATAATATGTAAGACGTCAGATTCTAGCATTTATAAAAGCAAATTTCATCGACAACCGCCTACGCGCTATGCTATAACCGTGCTACACTATCTCAGAATTCGTGCGTCAATTGTTAAAACAGTCCTAGTGCGGCAAGCACTATTCCGATGCTTCGTTTTCACGAAAGTTGCAGCACACGATTGGATGTTGGACTTGCATCAGTAAGCAGTTGGTGGATTCTTCCCTTCTCACGACGTGACAGTGGGTCCATAGAGGGGCCTTTACCAGCTGATCAATCGATCAATTATGGTGAATTTAGTTTAATTGTGGATGTGGTGTGCCCGGTGCGGAAGCGAACGACCCGGTTTTAATCCTTTCTTAGGGTCTGAGATTTGCAAGGATTCCGGTAGATGTCCCATTTCAGATTATCGAGCGAGAGGGGCATGGGCCCTGGTGCAATTGCTACTGCCTGCACACTCGATAGCCACAACAACCGCTCTGTCCGCATGCACGGCTTGCACAACACCAGGCACGTTTCGATTTAAAGCTTTCGTGACTGCAGGGAATCATCTTCTTGGTTCTTTCGGTAAAGTCACGTAGAAGGGAAATAATAAAATAATAAAATAAAACATAATAAAATAATTCTCACGACGTTTCGGCCACAACGCAAGCAGCCGTCCTCAGGTGGAGAACAGGTCTGTCGGGGAGACAGCGTCTGAATGGTTGCTTGCGTTGTGGCCGAAACGTCGTGAGAATTATTTTATTATGTTTTATTTTTATTCTTTTATTATTTCCCTTCTACGTGACTTTACCGAAAGAACCAAGAAGATGAACACCAGCACGCTTCCTCTGAAGGCCCCGGGTAGATGGGAAGATGTAAGGTTTTGTAGAGGCGGCCCTGTTTCTCCCACTACTGCAAGACCCACCGCTGAAGAGCGTCATGGGGGTTGCACGGCACCAGCGACGGGTGCTCCCCACGTGCTGTCAGACACAGGTCCGTCAGCGGGTTGTAGATGAGTTTGTTCTGCACACAAAAAAACGACAGAACAACGCGAAGTAGAAAGTAACGTTCGCGGGGAATAATAAAGTGCTAACGGCGTCAGTGCTTGGATGGGTGACCACCATGAAACAGGTTGTTATAGGCTGTGGAGATGTGTGGTCGGAGAACAGAGGGCATTGCAGCAATATTCAGTGTTGTACTGCACTTCTTTGCTATGCGCCTCACCTTCACCAACCTACCCAGACCAGTGCGATAAAGTATGGACAAATTGATACCCCCACCACCCGCAGGGTGTGGGGGAGGCCCTCAACAAGCAGGAGTCGGTTGACAAAATATCCGTACACGTACACATTGTCATCGTGATTACACAACCGTCAACAAGACTCGCAATATGGAAATTCTAATCGTGTTCAACTTTGGCCTCTTGATTTTTGGGCATGTTGCGATGTGTGTGCGCTTGCGTTACGTGCACCCAATCATGCGTGTCAGAACCAATTACGATCAAATTTAGCATGTAGTCATACGTCAGCTCATTTCTTTAGAACTGCATTTTGTGTTTAGTTTTTTGTCCCCCCCCCACCCCCACATCCAATTAGCACGGTCGACTATGTACGCTTGTGAAAGGTATTCAACATACATACATAGTCATAAAGCCATGGTTTTACAGTGGCGATGATGATGATTTTCATCACAATAACACCTGAGGACGGCTACTTGCGTTGTGGCCGAAACGTCGTGAGAATTGTTCTATTATGTTTTACTTTTATTATTTTATTACTTCGCTTCTACGTGACTTTACCGAAAGAACCAAGAAGAAGAACAATAATAGCAACCACAGCATTTATTTGTTTACTCAGAAAAGCCCAAACAAAATCTCTCGACCCTTTCAGGATGGGGGGCAGCTATTGCCGTATTCCTCGGACCGCCCCGTGGGTTTGCCCCATAGCGTGCGACGCCGTCGTAAGCGTGCCGGCTACATGGGGGGGGGGGGGGGGGGGGGGTGGGGGGGTGGTGAAGACCGACACGGTGTGCCCCCGGTACCTGCCGCAGCTGCCACAGCTGCTCGCCCGGCGTCGAGCTGTTGTGTCCACGGTATCGGCACTCCTCCAGGCACACGGCCTCGAGCGTGGCGTGCACGCACAGCTCCTTCTGCACGCTGTGCCGCAGCTCCCGCTGCCACGTGTACTCGAAGTACTGCGGGGTGGCACGCGCGCAGCAAAGACAAAGATCCCGCATGCGGACGCACAGACCATCGGGAGGAAAGTTCTGACGGCGAGGGCTTGTGAGGGCCGACACCACACCTGGCCGTCTCTGTCTCTCTAGTTTACACACCACGGCAGGTACTCATTTGAGGCTGAGCCAGGCTAGAAGCCCAGAGCCCATTCATCACTGGCGTTGACTGTGAGCGGTAATTGAACACGGCTCGCCCAGGTTTGTAGCACAGTGTGCGAACCAATGCATGACTGCTCCCCGAACGCACGCACACATGCACACACAAATACAAGAGAAATATCACCTGCATAGCCTCTACAGACTGTAAGGGCAAGTGCTTTTAGTGAGCAGGTATGAAGGCTGGTACGGTACACGAGGGGGTAGGTGGCCGATGTTTACACACCGCACCAGGTACTCAGTTGAGGCCGAGTCTACTTAGGGTAGTCCCAGGACCAGCACAGAGTAATCGTCACTGGGTTCGTATAGCAGATCGCTAACCGCTGCTCCACCGCTCACCACGCACAAACGCACGCAGAGGCAGACGACATCGTGACGGGTGGCAGCGGAGGGAACATTGTGCCCTGGACTCGCTGCAGGTTGTCACTGCAAGGTGAGACCTGTGTCTTGCCGGTGGGGCATTGATTAAATCTCGCTCCTGCTGACTACGATATGCATATATATATTTCCATTTCACGATTGTCTATTCTCGTTGGGTTTTACAAGCATCGGTGCAGCTGCACCTTTCAGCTAATTAAGTAATCAATCAATCTATTTGTATTATTATTGCACCAACGAATTTACAAATAGAAGTATACATTTGCATATCATTTGTATAAACAAATGAACAATATCTACACGTGATCCTCAGATGTATATATACATTGAACTTCTTTCGCACCATACGTAGCCAAGCGTTCTAATCGGAAGTGCTGGGGAATGACAACAAACTAAATACAAAACGCACTTATGAAGAAATTAGTGTTTATCATCAAGTTGATTTAAAAGTTCATAGTTCCAGTGGCTTCTTAATATCAGAAAGAAGAGCGTTCCAGGCGGCCACAGAAGCACATCTTTAAAAGCGCGCAATGCAGTGACCGTCTTTGTTCGATGGTTAGCCAAAAGCTGCCGCTGCTGCGAGGATGACAGGAGTTCACCTGATGGTCTGTGCTCTCCTTGAGGAAATTACCGAGGTATCGTGGTTCCCGTGTGCGCTTCCAGAGCACAATTTGTTGTGGCAGCCGAGTGGCGGGGGTGGGAATTGGCGACGTCTTTTTCGTCATTGTAGCCACGTCGCGCCCGCCGTGCACCACAGCGAGTGTCCCGCGGGTGCCCAACATCGACAATGGCTGCTGATTAATTGTTTGTACTTTTTTTTACTTAAGCATGTGTTGTCAATTTAATGTATAAATGAATGATGTCAGCACTCCCTGGCGGTGTCTCCATTGCGAGCAGTAGAGACTGACACTTTTTCTGTCGTACATTTGTAATGGGAGACGCGCGATCCAGAGGGTTGCCAGAGGGTAACTGGGTACACGACACTATTATGTAATCACCATCCAATCCTAAGAGGGAACAACACCTTGGCCTAAGGTGACGGGCGAGAGAGACGCTTCGGGAACCATCGGGAAGGTTCCACGTGGGGGCGTGGCTAGAGGCAGAGCCTAGGGGTGAATATAAGCAGAGGCGGGGGAGGACTCGTGGTCGGTGTGGGGAGCCTGGGGTCCGGTCTGCGTCGCTGCTCGTCAATTCCTCTCTGCGCCACCGTCCACGTGGCGGGTTCCTCAGCGAGGCTCGCCTCTTCTCTCGGGCGCGCCGCCAGCCAACGGCGAGACCGGGGGAGCTGAGCGAGCCTCGCTGGTGGACCAGAGAGAGAGAGACCCTCGCCTGCGGTGTTGTGCAAGGGAAGCTACTGGGAGATCGAGGGAGCTGTGCAGTACCTCGATTAATGAAGAAATACTCTGTACTCTTGGGTTTTTTTCGGTGAAGTCACGTAGGTAAAAAAATATAATGAAATGAAATAATAATAAATGAAAATAACTAAATTAAATCACGACGTTTCGGAGGCACAGCCAAATTGACTATTCACTTGATACAGTACATTTGGTTGTGATGGTCCCACCTGAAGACGGAGACTTGTGTTGCCTCCGAAACGTCGTGATTTAATTTAGTTATTTTCATTTATTATTATTTTATTTCATTCTTATTTTTTACCTACGTGACTTTACCGAAAAAACCTAAGAGTATGAATCCTTGCAGTCACGAAAGCTTCAAATCAAGAAGTACTCTGACAAAAATCGTCGTGGAAGTCGTCTATTACACATAATACGTGCTTCTTCTTGGTTTTTTCGGTAAAGTCACGTAAAAGGGAAGTAATAAAATAATAAAAATAAAACATAATAAAACAATTCTCACGACGTTTCGGCCACAACGCAAGCAGCCGTCCTCAGGTGAAAACCAGGTCCGTCGAGGCGACAGAGTCTGAATGAAACAGCACACGAGCTTGGAGCATATATATGTAAAGTAGTAACTCGGCAGGAGACGACTTCACGGGTAGCACACTCTTTATTTTCACCAACTTGTAGTTACACGGATGACTAACACCCTACTTCGTTACACGGGTGACCAACACCCACTTAGCTACACGGGTGACGGACACCCACTCAGCTACAACTTCGTTACACGGGTGACCAACACCCACTTAGCTACACGGGTGACCAACACCCACTCAGCTACACGGGTGACCAACACCCACTCAGCTACACGGGTGACCAACACCCACTCAGCTACACGGGTGACTAACACCCACTCAGCTACACGGGTGACCAACACCCACTCAGCTACACGGGTGACTAACACCCACTCAGCTGTACTGACACGGGCTCTTACGCCCTGTAGCCTTCCGGGACACACCCAGCCGGGGTGCCCGTCTCGGCTCTGGGTACCACCGTCCCGACCCACACGGGCGTCGGACTACGGTCCCCCCAGTCTCGGCTCCGAGCCACACAGGGCCCCTACCTCCTCCACCCCGTCTTCGGTCTTCAACTGGTTAACACTGACCACGAGTGCTCTCGCGCGTCCCCCTTTATACCCCTCCTGCGGACGTCGCTGAGAGTACCCACTTATCTGACCAATCACTGCACACTCGCTACGATCCTCTTTTCCCAGCTTGTGTGAGCGCGCCTCACCACCGGCGCGCGCGTCCATGCCACGCCCACATCGCGTGCCCAACCCCGCGCCCCGTGATCCATCACTGCCGGCGCACGTCAATACCACCACTACATCACCCCCTACCACATAGCTCGCAGCCGACCCGGCTGCTAATAAAACATACAACACCCCTTCACCCCCACGTGTGCCCCGTAACATAACACAAACCCTAACAACACAACATGAACACCGCAATCCGCAAAACCCAGCAACCGCCACACCCGCAACAAGAACAACATGCACAATCCGGCGAATGGCAACGATACTGTGTATGCGGAAAGAGTAACAATAAAAAAAATGTCTTTAATCATTTTCTCTTCTTTTCTCTCCGACTCATGCAGCGTCCCAATGTCCGAGCGTCCCTTGAACGGGACATTACCCCGGCAGAGGGGGAAGCCGGCAACGAAGTCGGGCTTTAACAAAAAAAGAAAAACATTTTTTTTTCTTTTTTTTTTTCATGAAAAGTGTTGCGTCCTTGCCCGAGTCCGCCTTGCCGGACCGTCGTACGGCACAGGACGCAGTTGGCCATCCGGCGGCGCCGGCCGTTCAGGAAGGCATGGGCCAGGCATCGGGGCTCCGCGCGAGCCGCGGGGTTCCGGTTCCCGACGGTCAACAGCCGTCAGGTCCGAGACACCTGGGGGTGGGTCAGGTGGAGACACGTGAGGATCAACCTGCGACACATCCCTCCCCGAGTCGACGGTCACATCACACGCTCGGTCGTCACGGCACAACCCGGGGTCACGCGGCGCCGCGTAGGGTTTCAGTCGGGAGGGGTGCACGTACCAACGGCGTTTTCCCCATTTAATCTGTATACTCTGGGGTCGTGCAACCCGCACAATTTCCACCGGTCCCCTCCATGGTCTCAACAGTTTGGGGGACGTAGCCAACGGTGCGTGTGGACAATGCAGCCAGGCCTTATCGCCCGGTTCCCAATTGTGCGTATGCACCTTCCGTTCATGCAATCGCTCGTTCGCGATCTGCCGAGAGCGTGAATTCAATCTCGCAGCCTCTCGCGCCTCAGCCAATTTGGCAATGTTAAACTTAATGTGGTCTGCCAATTTTGATTTAGCACGTGGCTGTGAAATCCCCAGTTGGACGTCCATGGCCGGATCAGCCTCCCGCCCATACATCAGAAAAAATGGAGAAAACCCCGTCGCCGCATGGGGTGCCATCCGATAGGCCGCTAGTACCCCCGGTACCTGTAAGTCCCAATCCACCTGGTCGTCGCATACCTGTTGGCACAGCATAGACGTAATCGTCCTGTTCAGACGTTCAACCATACCGTCAGTCTGCGGGTGGTACGGGGAGGTACGTACTTTCTTTGTACCCAACAGGTCGCACACCTCGCGCAACAAAAAACTCGAAAAGTTTTTCCCTTGATCCGTCAGCAAGCGTTCGGGGGCGCCTTTGTCCAAAACATAACCTTGGACAAAGGCGTCCGCCACTGCCGCAGCCGACTGGTTGGCGAGTGGCCACGCCATGGGCCAGCGGGTGAAGTACTCTACGCCAACCAGCAGGAACTTATTTCCCCGAGGTGTAGTGGGAAAGGGCCCCAAGATGTCTAGCGCGACCAATTCGTTCGTGCGCGAAACTTGAATGGATTGAAGCGGTGGATTAGCCGCTATTGGTGGCGGTTTTCTTTTAGCGCACCCTACACACCCCTTAAAAATGTTCGCCACGTCACTGCCCATCCCAGGCCAATAGTAGTCTCGCTGAATGAGGGCGAGCGTTTTGTGAAACCCCAGATGCATGAGTCGTTCATGGGCAGCCAGGAC